GAAGGAGGTAATTTCCATCTAAAGATACATTCAACTACTAATTCACAGTACCAAATTACTGGGCGCTATAACTTTGTCACCAAAAAATCAAAGCGGCACGTTAGGTGCAAACAGGAGTCCGTCTGCCATGTCGATCTACCTAGCACCCAGCACGTGGCTCTTAACAAGTGATGCACATGTCTGTTGGAGGGTCACCTTGTATACACCCAAACAAATCTTTCTTAACACTCCGGAGGTAAATTAAAGGGTAATGGACCACACATGATAAGGTTACGGCTCTTCTCTCTTCTTTGAGAGTGGCATTGTTTTATTTTGTAATCTTCTTTCTTTCTTTTTTTTTTTTTTTTTTTTTTTTTTTGCAATTTGGTGTAGGTGTCAACTAATGGCTGCTGTGGGGACAAGATGGACTGGACAGGGCTCAGAAGGAGTGTAGGAACTAGTGGGAGCCATGAGGAGAGCCCGTTACATCTTTCAATAGCGGAGGGTGAAGCTGTGGTGTTTGTGAATCCGGTGGATCTATCAGCTGGGAAAGGAGCTTGTGTTTCTAGGATGGGGTTGGGTTTGTAATGTCGAGGAAGCAATTCAAATGTCCTAACAATGGAGAGGACACTAGCATTAGGGGAAAGAAGGTGGACCTGCGCTCTCGAAGCGGCGACATGGGCCTTGGAGACGGCACTGTCGGTGCGGAACCATGCATGTTTGTTTGTGAATGTTCATAAGCGAGATTTCCCTGTTGAAATACCTAATTATTCAAAAGTTGCTTTTATTTAGGTGGAAATGTATAGAAGTCAATTTTTTATGAGAAGTGCTAGGGGCACTCGCCTCTTGCACTCACCGGCCAACACTTCCCCTTTCTTTGGGCCACGTAATTGAACGGCAACCTCTTACCCAGGACAATGACGTGGCCCAATAAGAGCGAAAGTGTTGGACGCAGTGCAAGAGGCGAGTGCCCCTAGCACTGCTCATTTTTTATTGCAGTTAATAGAGCTGGATTTGAACCGGGTCTTGTGGTCCAATGGTTCGATCCCAAGCCTTAAGTGTTTGGGTGAAGTGGTCGGAATTTCGAACTCCACCACCGTCGTGAACTCCACCAAAAAACGGCCTGATGATCGCACGCCTCATTTGAGGGAGTAAAATGTTCACCTGATGACAAATTACTAACAATTAACTCACTAACTTCTTAACCATTACCCTTATAAAAAAAAATAATAATAAATAGAGCTGGATTTGTTCTTAATTATATTTGGGGAAGTAGTTATTATGGGGTAGTATCTCACCAATCAAAATCAATTAAGTTTAGCTTATTTAGATGGGCAGTATAGTGATTTGGGATATTTAAGACTAATTAACCTGAATTGCTCATTAGAATAGCTATAGAATTATACAATAATAGTCCTTTTATGCGTCTCTAAGACTTTAAAGGTGGTCATTTATAATTCATATATCCCCTTACAGCACATTCATTTAATATTTATAA